GCAACTATTGTTGGACAGGTGCAAGTGTGCCCTCTACCATCAAAAGTTATCTTCATAGCATGGACAACAACATCAGAGTAGTACTTTTCCTCACTCCGGCAGTACCATATGTCGACAGCAGTGGACATCACAGATGCTATCACACCCTTCTGCCTTTCGGGACACTGTAAATTTTCCCGATGAACCCGCATTTCCACAATCCTCAGACAGTAAACGCACTAGGTTTGGAGAGTATCCCGATGAACCCGCATTTCCATAATCCTCAGACAGTAGACGCACTAGGTTTGGAGACTATCCTCCCATGAACTTTCTTTGGATCGTTCACAAGCCATGATAACTTACAGTAGCATCTTTGTAACGGTGTTAGTCCATTTGGAAAGCAGGACGATCACAAGTTGTAGTATTCATCATCTAGCAAGATCTTCTACCTGTCTACGTCAATGACCAGCTTACCAGAAAAGGCAGTATTTTCATGTACGATGGATATATGCATAAGGTCAGAGCATTACCACATGCCAGTCGCCGAACATGAGCCTTATGGAGCATGCGTGGTTAATCCTTAATCATTCCCTACAAAATCCAACCAAACAAACAACTTCTAGGGTTGTTTTCGACCAAGTTCTTCACCAACAATTGGGTACAGTGCCACAAGCCCAGATTTCTGATCTTGTGAAGGGCAGATCCACTAAATGCTAATTATCATTAACTTGTGATCAAAGCAAACTACTACACAGATCAGAACAAAAACTTAGCCCAGCCAAGAATATGGCTAATTTAATATATCGTTCTTTATTATAAGATATAATGATTAGAAGTCTTTTATTTACCAGTTTAGCACCCTCACTGTGGGCGATATTGTTTTACATTAGTTTATTTGTCTTTCTTTCTGGAGTGGGTGTCTATTTACTTATTGGTAGGCTGTGTATGAGTTTGGGGTTTTGTGGCATGATATTAAAATGATTAACACAATATTTGTAGTACATAAATAAGGAATAACTAAGTCTATGCATATAAATTTAGCACATTTAATCCTATGAAATTAAAGGAATACTACGAAGTACCCTCCACTTTAACAATGTTAAATACAGTTTCATGAAAAGATGAAAAAATTCGAAGTTTTATGTTTCGAGTTAAAATTTTACCATTGAAAACTTAATAAACTGAAGTATATTAAAAAGTGTAATCAAACATTCGAACTATATCAAAAAATAAATATATAATGCTGAATCGTTACTATTCTTAGACATTCAAGTGTCTAACAGAATATCCTTAGTTATTTTAATTCATATTATAGTGTAATTTTGAAAAACATTTTAGATTGATGTGTGATATGCTGTACATATATAAATATATTGTTTTTAAATCGATCTATAAAGCTAGTCAGGTGATTGGTATTTTATAGATTTACAATTTGCATTTCCTGTAGATTTTAATAAGTTTTAATCGTTCCGTACGTATTCTGTTAAGGAATAACTTCTCTATAAATTTATAATAAATGCCTGTGTTTTTTTAGGCCAGCGTTTCTCAATCGGTGAGTCGCTTCCCACTGGTGGGCCGCAAAGTAATTTGAAGTGGGCTGTCAAAAAGATTAGATGATGATATTTCAAAGAATTTGCAAAACAGCAAAAGTATAACGCAAACTACATAATACTTCGAAAAATGCTAACTATAAATTAATATCACGTGCATGAAGTAACATTGCTATATGTGTCATACTTCTATAATTTTTCTGCAGTGGGCCTCGGGATATTTCTTGAAGTTTAGGTAGGCCGTGTTACTAAAAAGGTTGAGAAACGCTGCTTTAGGCTATCTTATCAATATCAATAAAAAGTGATTCTTTATGTCCTGTTTTTGCATATATGGAAATTTTCAAAAGATAGTTCTATGTTTAGAAAAGACTTAGTAGGCCAGAGGAAGATTTATCTACCAAAATTCTTCGATTGTTTGTGTGTTGGTTACAACAAGAGTAGAATTCTGCAGGCAATACGTAAAATATATGTCTTCTGTATTGTTATATTATTATTTGTTAAAGTATGCATGTTATTACTATGTTACAAGTCTTGTGTATTGTTAATATTAACAGAACAAATCCTATTTATACATTTATGTAATATTTACAGTGAAGCTATTTAGTAATATTTGGTATAGAGAACATAGAAATTAAATCCATGTTTAAACCTGCGACTTGATTTGAAGATCATTATAAAGAGTTTGGAGTAACCAAACATGGAATGTTTGAAAATCTATAATTTCAATGAAAATTTGTGATTATTTTACGGTATAAAACAACTTTTGGTTGTTTTCAAACGTCATCACTCTGTAACTTTCCTATTCTGTTCTAACCTACAAACGAAGATTCAGCCATACTGTCTGAAACTCTTGTGGATCTGATGTCTTGAAGGTTTATAATACTGGATTTAAAACACTATAAAATATTGTTCCTAGTTATAGAAGCTTATTACTTTGTATCTAATTGAATGAACATGCAAAATTTACAACGAAAATAGATAAACGAAAAGTGAGTTACTGAACTATCAATAAATGCATAATTCGTTTCTTGGAATTTTACAGACAATACGTATCACTAATGTGATATATAAATATATACTCGAGTCATTGTGTACAAGAAGTTTCAGCACACACAAGAAATATCTTGTGTTTTCAGCGTCTTCTACGGTTACAATGCATAGACCATCGGTGTTTTTAAACTATTGTTTGCTTGTTTGTTTTGAATTTCGCTATCTGCGCTAGCCGTCCCTTAACTTAGCAGTAAAAGACAGCTAGTCTTCAACACCCATCAGCAACTCTTGGGCTACTCTTCTACCACCCACGGCTGCGATGGCGAGTATGTTTGGTCATGTTGCCAGTCGAGCTCCCTAAAGCCTCTTAAGAAAAACATCTAAGTTTATTAGAAAATAAGTCAAAGTATGACTTGATAGACGAAAGCTACATATAATACATGTTCATGTGAGTAGTTCAACTGGACTGAACATAAGTTTGTAATTTAGTATTTTTTCATATAAAATTGGATTCGGTTAAAAAATAATTTTTCTCCTAACAGTTTGGAAAGTCTGATGCGTTGGTTTGCATTTAACATATATTTTGTTAGTTCACAAAAAATGTTTCTACCGTATTTGACGTAATTTTAAATACATCAAGATTATTGGATTAAAATACATATATATTACCTCTCTGAACCCGTATCATTGTTATACTTTACTCTAATACAACTAATTGTGAAAATAACTTTAATTTCTTACCGATACAATAGTAGTATGTTGCCCCCCTACTATCCATACACACATTTTATACAGACCAACACTGCTAACTGATACGGGCCGAAATTTCAACGTTTGAACCTACACATTAATATTGAGATTTACTATACTTTCTAATAACAACAACAGAAAAAAAGGAGTCCATTTAAGTTTGATTTGAAAATATTTTTGGAGTTAGTGTGGAACCAAAAATAATACCAAAATTATGTGTACGTGTCCCACAAAAGGAGAAACTAGTACAAAAACGAAGCATTTTTAAATAATAATATAACACAATGTTTAGAGACAACAGGGGACCTATTGGTCCATCTTGGGTGTTCCATCCTCTACACTAAATTGAAAAATAAATAAAAAAAATTCTTAAAGCCAGCCACCCTGTTAGAAAAATAAAACTATCTTAGCTGAAGATGACTCCTACCCTGCCAAAATTTATATTTGTGTCCCCTAGTCCTACTATTCTCGCCGTTAAGTATGAAAAAGGTAATGTATCAACAATATCAATTCCCTTCACAAATTTACAATCTTAAACACCTCAGTCAGATCCCCCTCTGAAGTGACACTCAACAATATCGATAAAAACCGTTATGATAAGACGCAACTTTGACTTTGACAGAATGATTTGCCGGTACTACGTACCGGCTTATTTTAGGCAGTGTAAACATGGTATAGTTTTGGCTTGAATGAACTGCTACTGGTTTATAGAATAGGAACACGTTTCGGCTTCTACACCGAGACCTATACTGAAAAAGGCCATAACTTAGAAACTGGAAGAAGT